TAAGCCAAATACGTTTGAGTGTTGTTTTAAATGTGTTAAATGACATGCTGGCACCAAAAATTAACTGACAGCTTTGACATCCCTTCAATAGAAACAATAATGGAGCTCATTACAAATTAATGAGGTCATTTGCATAAGGTTTGAGGGTCACAATAACAATGGAAAAAGAAACAACAGCATTTTGTGCCCCAGGGTTGAGATAGATAGATAGACAGAGAAACAGAGAGACAGACAGACAGTTAGATAGATAGATAGATAGATAGATAGATAGATAGATAGCAGATTAAAGTGGGTGGACTTAAACTTGAAAAATGGTGTGTATTGACGTCTTTCCGTGGTTGAAATAAAATACCTTCTGATGTTCATTCATGTTTATTTCGTGCTTTAAGTAAATATGAAAAGATAATCGGTTCTCGTGCTGCTCGAACTGAAGCGCTACAGCGATCTATCATAGCACATTAAAGAGTATTTATTGTTTGAATTTCTTTAAAAAGATGAAAATATTTGAAAGCTGAGACTTTGTTTCAAACCAGAAGTAACCTGCTCTGTCTTGTCTGTTGGTGCGTTGTCCATTTCCTCTTTGCTCCGTGATGTATTTGTCACTGCGTGTGAATGGGATGTGTGGCGCAAGAGCGGCATGGCTTGTCAGAAATAGCAACAGAAACTAGGGGCGGGTCTTTGTGAAAAGTCAATTTTTCAGCAAATATTGTGTACACAATTCAAATGGATGTATGGACAGACAGACAGAACATTTACCAATTTAGCATAACAAATTATCATAAGCTGAAAAAAGATTAATGATCAAATAAATCTTCTGTCCAGTCTTCAGACTATATCAGCAGAAAACACGTCAGTAAATACAGTATGTCGCAGCATGCGAGATAAGACACTGTCACTTGTCAGCGCTAAGCTAGCAGAGCCACACAGATAATCTCTGTCTTTTAAAAGCTTTTGCTGTGTCCAGGGCTGTCAATTCTCACAATAAAGCTGTCTACTCAGGGTTTACAGTGCCGGCTGCCTGGAGGAGTTACAGGGTTAAGCGCTAAAGGCAGCGCACAGTCTTCACACATGAGGCTTTCATTGCATAGTAATTGCAGTCCACAGCAAGTTTAAACTCAACTTGAGGTTATTTATTTCTTGGGAAACAGGTAATGAGAAGAAAGTTTGATATCAGAAGAAAATGTGACGAACTCAAAAAAACTTAAAAGTAACTGCAGTGATTTAAACAATAGTTATGAAAGTGAGTAAATATGAACATATTGTGACAAACAGCCCTCCGAACTGTATATCACTTCATAAATGTTATATTACAGATTTGACTTGCCTTCATGCCAACAACTAAACTGTATACTTAACAGCTTTAATGAGGGACAGAACTACAATCCCATAAAGCACTGCTAATGATATCATCGTATTAAAAATGATGGAGAAATATAAAACTTAATTTAAAGATGTTGATCGTGTATATATTTAAGTACTAGTGCTTCATGGGAGTGGGCATGGTGCTAAACAGTTCTTTTGATGTCACGGACAATATACTGATTTCAACAAATGCATATACCGCGCAGCTTACAGTAGTTCTGTCTTTAACAGTTTATAAGTTATAATTATGCCTTTCAGTGGCGCTAGCTTTAACCTGGAAACCATATAAACATCAACTGGAACATGAATTTACAATGAACTAAAAAGCCCAAACCCACAGAAAGCATCTTTGTCTCCTCGTTTCAGAAGTCCACCACATGTCCTGCTCTACAGCTAATTTAACCTTTAGAGCAGAGTTCAAACAGTGAGATTCATGATGCTCTCTAGAGCACCAATTCAATTTATTACCTCACCAGAGAGATGTTTATAAGCAAGACAACCCACAGTCCCTGGAATTTCCCCCTTTTCATGTCCCACTGCCTGCTCGCAGAACTGTAAAGGCCCGAAACAACTTAAGAAGAAACTACAGTGCTCATTATTACCCCACTGTCCAAGAATGTATGACAATATTGAGAGTTTTACAGTACAACCCCTCCCTGCAATACAGTAATGCGTTCCATTCCTCTTCCAACCCAGCATTTTATACTGTTACACCTTGTGAACTATAATTACTGTAATTTCTTTCTTACTTTGGAATGCAATGGCCGGTTGAGTTTTACATCGTATGCCTTCCTTCAACATTACACATTCTGCCCCATCTCCGGCTTACCGCAATCCCACAATGCCTTGTAAACCACATCAACCGTGGCACGCAAGCTTTTTAGCGCCTCTTGCACTTTAAGAACAGGTGTGCACATTGATGTTCGTACCCCCACCTTTAAATTGAATTTTACAGCCTGATTTACTACTCCAAGTATCAAGTGTTAGTCAGTGAAAGCGTTTTTGTTTGTGTTCAAGAGCATGAGCTCAGAATCATTGAAGCTGGACAGGATAAAAAGCGCTTTTGTACTATTGCAAATCACAAGCTCCCGGCACACATCCACACCAGCACAATACTGCTTGTCGTTTTGAACAACAACAACCAGCTCCACATAAATCCAACCACTCTATATCAGGCTTCCCATCCAGGTAACAGAAACCGCCACTACTTTTACGTCTCGTATCACCGCAGACTCACGTTTCATGCAACTGTCGCCATCTAGGGTTATTATATTTAACTAAAACTAAAATTAAACTGAAAAAAAAAACTTAAACGTTTTTTTTTTAGCTTGTTGCCAAATCAGTATATTAATTTTCACTTAGTTTAACTTGATGTATTAAAATAACTCAAACGAAAACTGAAATAATAAATTAATACAAATTATATAGAAATTAAAAAACTAATAAAAACGCTACAAACACAGCAAAATTACAAAAAAATTAGAATTCAAATGGAAAATAAACAATAAAAACTAATTCATAATATTAAATGAAACTATAACACTATCTCAAAAATAATAAAATAATAACAGCACCATCTTGCATCTCAATTGTTGTGAAAATCTGATGTTCATAATTAATATTGTAATGTGGTGTAGTATCATCATGGTGTTCGTCTTGTTGCTACGCCGATTGTTTTGTATATTTTAGTGGACTATTTTTTTCTTAGTGGAAACTTTATGATTACACACAGCTAATGATCGTAAAATAATTTAAACTCAAATCAATATTCCATAATAAATTTTGCAATAATGACTGGTTGACTGTGCATGGGGTCCCTTTCTTATTATATACTGCTGGAATGAAAGAAAAAAAAAACCAGTAATAAAAGCTGAATGGAAATATCCATAAAGTGGATAATTTACAGTAGAAAAGCAGACATTTCAGCTTACCTTTTTAAGCCAAGTAAAATGCTTATAAAAGTCAATTTCCTCCTCCATGCTGAAGGCCCATCTCGAGCCGCTATAATAAAGGAGCGACTGCAGCGGCTGGCTGAGATCTGAGCTCTGGGTTTCAGTGACTCTGTCTGCCTGTTTTATAGAGTCGCCTCCTCCTTCTCCTCCTCCTTATATTGGCTGCTTAAGACAGGAGCTCTTAACATGCTGAAGCAACTGCACAAACCTCATTTCTAAAGCCAGACGTCTGTCCGAGACCCCCTGCATCTGTTGTCCAGCCAGACACTTAAAGTTCAATTTGTGTGTGTGTCAGACGCAAAACATCAATCCACAACTTCCACTCCCTGATGTTACTTGCTACTAAACACCATTCAACTCCCTCTTTCACATGCGAAAGGCTCTATATTTGTAATTTTCCCCTCCCTTTCTTTCAACCTTTTTCTGTTCTCTGTGTGAGACAGCGGCTCTAATTAAGTTCCAGTGCAAGTCTAAACCGAAACAAACCAGTGTCTCTGTTTAAACACAGCTAGAGACAGAGAGGGGGACATTTACAGTCACACTGCCTTCCAGCGCTCCCCCATCTGTTTTTACTCAAGACTGCAACCCATTAGACCAAAGACCCTGCTTCCTGTGGAAGACATCCATCCATTTCTAAGTGTCTTTTTACCTTTACAAGCAACCCTGCTGTCCAGTTGTCTCCTTCGTGGACAAACACAGCTGAGAGAAAGACTGGGAAGGGACTGACAAGCACAAACTGGCCTCTGGTTAATACTAGATAACAACATAATAACCTTGTGATCTTGTCAGGCCTGTAGGTTAACATGCCACTATGTAAGCTGCTGTAAACTATCATATAATTAACTTACTTAAAGAGATTGTTTACTCAAAATTAATATTCTGTCATCGTTTAAGGCATGGTCACATTAGCAAAATTTCACAAAAAACTGTCCACAGTGTAGCTAGCATCACGTAATGTAATATGAAGCATCACTCAAATAAGTCACTTTCAAACTAAGCATCTTTCTGTTGGTCTACGCACAAAATTTGTATGTCCAACTTGAACATGAGAGAAATCTGTGTGAGGTACTTTCTCCCATTATATGTAACTCCCAACTGCATGCATTCCCACTAAAATTACTGGATTTCACCAGCAAAATTTTGCAGAGCAATGGTAAATGCAACCGAACATACAGTATATACATACATATATGTAATTCTACTGTAAAATAAAATGTTTTTGGAAATAAACAAGATGAATAACCATATAATTTAGTGAAAAAAGGACATTCCCAGAAGTTCCTGTATAACACATCAAATATGATTATGTAATTTTTGTTATCAGAAATGTACATTAGGATGTTTCAAGTTACATTTTATGATATTTAGTAAATGTTTATTGCATTTTTTTAAGTGTCATTATATCATATCACTTAATGAAACATACGGTTAAGGATATATGCCTTCCTGTAATACCTAAAACATTGTTGCTATATTTTTATGGTAAATTTCTGACAACCACAATTGCCTTTTTCTTTTTTACTGTAAATTTAACATGATTCCTTTACAGTGATAATAAAACTGGTCTATTTAGACTATTAGGTCATTGCTTCAGTCTAGTGAGCTGTAAATGAGTCAAGAATTAGTCTAATTCATGGACAAATCCTTCAGACAGGTTTTGTGAAATGATTCAGATCATTAAAAAGATCTGAATCAAAAAATGATTCATTCACAAATCAGACACTGTCAGGAAGGGCTAGTGTGGACTTTTCAATGATAGTAAAGAGATGAATTTCAGTCTGTTTGTCACAAAGCTATCGTATGGCTTCAGAAGACCTGAAATAGAGTGCATGAGTCATATAGACCACTTTAATGGTATGATATTTTTGTAATTTTAGAGCTTCACAGCCCCATTGAAAACAGCATCCACAATAGTCTTTACAAATTCACTTTTGTGTTTCACAGAAAACAATCCTACAAGTTTGGAACGACATAAGGGTGAGTAAATGGTTAACTATCCACATGTCTTCCCACAAATAAGTGCAAAAAATAATACAAAATGCTAAAACATTCAGTATGGGACTTGTGATGGTTACCAGGCCTGAGTTTCAGCCAATACGCCACACCATCCCCATTACAACCACTTCTAGTATTCCCTCACTTTTCCTAGCATTTCCTGTTTGCGTCATAGGGAGTTTTGTGTACTACGCAGAGCAGCGGGGATACGGTCACCATGGGGACTGTTGTCAAAACTGTTAAATGCCTACAGATGAAGTCAACAAATAACACTTTGGCTATTTTGCATTGTCTTTTGGTGTATTCAAATGAACTTTTTCCATTCTAAGACTTCTAAAACACATATTCTTCTGAGCGAGGCAGGCTGCGATTATGTCAGCTATCAAGCCATATTAAAGGTTCCACCCTGAGATCAAGCACAGACGGTTGTGTCTTATTAGCGTAGCACGCAACTTATCCAGAGCTTTGAGAGTTCAGCTGCACCTGGCAGAGTCTCTGATCCTGACAGCTGCAGAGCTGGAGACACACCAGACACACGTGCACACGCACACACAAACAAGAGTAGACACATTTAAATACTATCAAACAGACACGCTTTACCTACAGACAGGTCTCGGGTCAGGTCATGAGATGAACAACCTCTCTTATCTCGTTTCTGCAGCTGCCGCAAACATTCCTCATGTGCATGTAAACACGGGCCAGATCCGCATGTATGAACAAAGCGTAATGCGGCCTCTTTAATGTGAGCGTCTCACTATCAGGACTTGATCACATTTCCTGCAATGTTTTTACCGGCTCTAATTAGGAAGCATGAGTGTTTTTGATCCCACTCAGAGACACAGCTCATAGGACCCTGTGGATTTTTAGGAGGCCCCTTTAAGATGCGATCACTTTAGCGAAATTTCTGAGAAATTTCACAGACAAAAAAGGTCCATTGTGGGATAGTTTACACAAAAAGGAAAATTAAAGAAATGATTCATTCATCCTTCACTTGTTATAAACCTGTATGAGTTTCTTTCTTCTGTTGAACACAAAAGAGGATATTTTGGAATATGTTGGTAAACCAAACAGTTGACGGTAAGCCATGATATCTTTTTCCATACTATGGAAGTCAATGGATACCAGCAACTGTTTGGTTACCAACATTCTTCAAAATATCTTCTTTTGTGAAACTCACTCAGGTTTGGAACAACTTCAGGGTGAATAAATGACGACAGAATTTTCATTTTTGTGTGAACTATCCCTTTAATAGAGTAGCAATGTATAAAGCACAGCTCACACACAAGTCACTTTCAAACTTAGCAGCTTTCTGTTGGTAAATTCACAGTGAGACCAATTTGAAACTATTTCGAAATCTGCATGGGTACATCTTTTGCCCTTACACAAAATTCCCAAATTGCGTGGATTTCTATTAAAATGACTGGATTTTGTCCGCAAAAATGAGCTGAACAGGGTCCCGAATAACAAACTATTTTTCATTCTTTGCGTAAAAACAAGTTTGAAATACCTGAGCAGCGAACAGAGACACTGATTGCGAACATCCCGACGCCACCAAAGCTGTTGTAATGATTCGATTAAAAACAGCAGTGAAGAACGCATCTGATCATATCGATGTATATAATTTTGTCCTAGCTTTGCAATTCGGTACGGCACTCAAGTTACATCACGTTTATTTATACAGCACTTAATACAACAGACTGCTTTAAAGCAAGCAGCTTTACAGTATTAAACATGAATAAACAGTGTAAGCATCACTTTTAATTAGAATTACAACTTCACTATACTACTTTATATTACAATAAAGCAGCTCTCCAGTGTGCTCATTTTTCATGACCTCGACGGACTGACTTGAAGAAATTAACCGGACAGGATTTCCATGTCAAAGAAGGCACCTATCTATTACGTAATCACCTCAGACCAATGGTAGGTCAAATGTGTTTACCAGCTTAAAACGCAGTTTTGGCCTGATTTTGTTCAAATTATGTGGCAGTAGTTTGTTCTTCAACTTCGCTTGAAGTAATGTGAGCTTAGCTTTAGGTCAGATCCCTGCAAAAACATGGCCCTTGATTGATCCTTAAGCTCCGCCAACAGGTTGCTTATGCTCTTTCTTAGAATTGTCTATGTTCATTGACCAAGAAGAAATCACCACAGGCAACTGATGAGAATCATGTGCAAGCATTTTGCATCAGGATACACAAATAACTACCAACATTCTTCAAAATATCTTCTTTTGTGAAACTCACTCAGGTTTGGAACAACTTCAGGGTGAATAAATGACGACAGAATTTTCATTTTTGTGTGAACTATCCCTTTAATAGAGTAGCAATGTATAAAGCACAGCTCACACACAAGTCACTTTCAAACTTAGCAGCTTTCTGTTGGTAAATTCACAGTGAGACCAATTTGAAACTATTTCGAAATCTGCATGGGTACATCTTTTGCCCTTACACAAAATTCCCAAATTGCGTGGATTTCTATTAAAATGACTGGATTTTGTCCGCAAAAATGAGCTGAACAGGGTCCCGAATAACAAACTATTTTTCATTCTTTGCGTAAAAACAAGTTTGAAATACCTGAGCAGTGAACAGAGACACTGATTGCGAACATCCCGACGCCACCAAAGCTGTTGTAATGATTCGATTAAAAACAGCAGTGAAGAACGCATCTGATCATATCGATGTATATAATTTTGTCCTAGCTTTGCAATTCGGTACGGCACTCAAGTTACATCACGTTTATTTATACAGCACTTAATACAACAGACTGCTTTAAAGCAAGCAGCTTTACAGTATTAAACATGAATAAACAGTGTAAGCATCACTTTTAATTAGAATTACAACTTCACTATACTACTTTATATTACAATAAAGCAGCTCTCCAGTGTGCTCATTTTTCATGACCTCGACGGACTGACTTGAAGAAATTAACCGGACAGGATTTCCATGTCAAAGAAGGCACCTATCTATTACGTAATCACCTCAGACCAATGGTAGGTCAAATGTGTTTACCAGCTTAAAACGCAGTTTTGGCCTGATTTTGTTCAAATTATGTGGCAGTAGTTTGTTCTTCAACTTCGCTTGAAGTAATGTGAGCTTAGCTTTAGGTCAGATCCCTGCAAAAACATGGCCCTTGATTGATCCTTAAGCTCCGCCAACAGGTTGCTTATGCTCTTTCTTAGAATTGTCTATGTTCATTGACCAAGAAGAAATCACCACAGGCAACTGATGAGAATCATGTGCAAGCATTTTGCATCAGGATACACAAATAACTGTCTAAATGAACCTTGTGACTGTTTTTGCCAATAACAAATACCAGCAAAACAAGACAACACTTTTCTGAGAGAGCAAGTATGCGTGCATTGTCAGGTTACAGATCAACAAAATAATCTAGTAGCATAAACTGTCAGCCGCAGACTTACCCTAGAGGAGATGAAGCCGAGCTAAAGGTGACCAGATCATTTTTAATGCAGAGCAAAACAGCAAAGAGAAAGGAGAGAGTGACTGCGTGGAGAGAGGGATATGAGGGAAGAGAGGGAGAAGAGACAGGAAGCACAGCCCTATCAATGTCTCAGAGGGGATCCAAACTCTTTTAAAATCATCCAAGCAACATACACGCATACACACGCAAACGCTGGGCCAGAAACTGCCTCTGGGACACATGAGAAAAGACCCTGTATTAGGCAAGAGTCTGTACTTAAAGGTATAGTTCACTCAAAACTGAAAAGTATCCTAATTATCATTATGTACTCATGTTGTTTCAACCCTGTAAGCTGTTATTTTTTCTTTGGAAAATTTTTGAAGATTCTTCTTTTTTTAATACAGTGACAGATCCGCTTCAAAAAAGCACCAAAAAACTGTTTTTAACACTTGTGCTCACTTGGTTTCAGTCAGTGAGTTTTTGTACAAATCATTCGTTCGAGTCAGTTCATCTGACCTCGAGATCCTAAAGTTCAAATGACTGACTCGATTCAGTTGCAGTGGTTCTAAAGTGATCAGCTCACTGGAAGGGAAGATTTTCAGTGAATATTGACTTAAGTTATATAATGATTTCAATTTGTCCTTCACACAAAGAGATTAAATTACTGGAGAGGACTGGGAACATAGTGCACAAGTCATATGGACCCAGTGTTGTTATTGTTCACTAAAACTAGTAAAAATCGTTTGCAAGGATTTTTCTTAATATGGATATGTTCACTGCAAATTTATTTGTAGGGCTGGGTTTTGACACAAATTTCACGATTTGATTCGATTCTCATTCACAAGCTTGCGATTCGATTCGATTACCGATTCGATTCAATTCAATATCGATTATTTTGTATATATATATCAATCAGGTACAGTACATGCCAAATTTTCTCAAGGAAAAAAAGTCTCTCAACTAATGCTGTAAAATATACATGAGAGTCAGTTGGTACTACATTACTATAATACTGAAGGTTAAAATTGACTGATTTGTTAAAATTACACTTAATGAAGTTTTTAAAATAATAAAGTTACAATTACATAATAATATTTCTACTTTAATTCTTTTTTTTTTTTAAATATAAACATAATGGTGGCTGTCATAAAAACTTGATGGATTTATTCAAACATAAATTAAACATTGAAGAGCAGTCAAATTTATAATGAATATGTTATATGGTACATATATTCAGCAAAATGTCCCTCTCTGCAGTTTATTTTTCTATCTGACTAATGAGTTTATGGTCACCGAATATGTTTTCTGAGGTAAATGTGACGTTACGTGCATTGTTTACAAGACGTTATGTTGACGTCTTTGCGCGGCTGAAACACTGATTGAGCGATTACATGAGACAGGATACGGATTGTAAAGTTGTACTCTTTCTTCTAACTTACCTTCGGATGTTTAGTCATGTTTATTTTGTTCTGAAACTGGTATTAATGTGGAGGAGATGATCAGTTCATGTGCGCCTCGCTCTGCCGCGTCGGTTGAAACGAGGCGCTACAGTGATCTGTCACTCCACATTAAACAGCACCAAAACGGCATTTATTGTTTGAATACTGCAATACAACGTGTCACTAGTTAAAATGACTTATTTCTCTGGATTTAAACATTCTTCGAAACATTTGGGATAATGTAAGTACACAAGTCAGCAAAATATATAACACTGTTCTAGTGGTTTTTGGATATTTTAATTAAAAAATTCTTACATATTGTGCCTTAAAGATTCGATATTGTTCCGTAAAAATGAGAATCGATTAATATCGAGATATCGATATTTTTTACCCAGCCCTATTAATTTGTGTACATTTATGTTACATTTTATTATTTATTCATATTTTTATTATCTGTATTAATTTTATTAGTAATAATAATATTTATATGTAAAAAATGTTTATATGTTTAAAAAAAACTTAACAAACTTTAACAAAAATGATACATTTTGCCTCGTAGCTAACTGAAATAAAATAAGTTGAAGACTAAACTTGAAATAAAAATAAATTCAAGCTATATAGAATTATAAAAAAACATAAATTACTAAAACTTAAACTAAAATTAAAGTAAAAACGGAAAATATACAAATAAAAGTTCATTCAAAATATTAATGAACACTATAATAGTATATAAATAATATTAAAATGACACTATATGGACCACTTTCGTAAAATTTTTTGTATTTTTTCCTCCTTTGTTTATTTCTTTATCATTTTTATTCTACTTTTGTGTTCCACTGAAGAAATAAAGTCATACAGGTTTATAACAAAAAGGAGGGTGAGAAAACAATGCAGGAATGTTCAGTGATGAATGAACTGTCCCTTTAAGACTCAGTACAGCTGCCTATTGAATAACCTAACACTTGCAAGGTCTTTTTGCTGCTTATAATCATGTCACCAAATTTACATTAAAAAGGTTTTGTTTCCAAAACATGACAAACACAATATGAAAAATGTTAATTTATCATCTGAGAAACATGTTAACATCTGTATCACTGCACGGTGTGTAAATATTTATATAATGGATACAACACTATCCAAATGCTGACTGAAAACTTAAAGATGGCACCAGGCTAAACAGAGAAGCTCAAGAAACATTAAACATCAAACCTCCAAATATAATGATCGCTCACGAGTTAGTTAAGCGTGAATGAGCTGACTTGAGAATGCATGTTAAGTGAATTATAAGCCTGTATAATAACTCTGATACTATTCTATCATAAAATTCACAATGGTTTTATAGGCTTTCACTTTCAAGTGCCTTACCGGTCCTTTCTCCAGCCACTCCATGAGAGTCTGTGCGGTGGTGCAGGGCAGCTGGGAGCGCAGTGAGTTGCGGTCCTCGTCCCTGGCCTGCAGCTCCAGTGCTAGTCTCAGCTCCTCAGCCAGCTGGAGAACCGGCAGCGGCCCGACGCTCACAGGAGAGCCCAGATCATACAGCCCGTTACTGAACTCCACCGCAGCCTTGGAACCTGCGGACAGAAATATGAAATGGACAAAATAAAATATAGAAGAGGTTAGACCTTTGGCTTAGCGGTCATACTCTCATATGTGTGACACAGGTTCGAACCTGGCATATTTTTTTTTTTAAATCCATTCCTTTTTTTTGGTCATGTTTTTATTGTATCACAGTAGCAAAAAGGATGAAAAAAAGATGCGATCTATGGAACAGCTAGGGCAAAAAGTGACTTGAGAGGAAAAACAAATAGAAAGAGAGCAGGGGAGATGCACCATCACGCCATGTCATACATCATCACATAATATTAACCATCAGCACCCACACCACTGCAGCCACGTGTCGCCTGCATCATCTAGAACAACAGTTCCAACAATCCCCATCTGGATACTATGGAATCCGATGTGACAAATTTACAGGATCATCTGGAACCCATCAGGATTCTATAACACTTTAAAAGTCTATGATGAGATTGTTCCATTTTTAAATGCCAGAATCAACGATCAGAACAAAGAGACTTTGGTTATGGCCTTGGTTTCAATTTTTATCTTATGCAATTGTAAGAATGTTACACATTTTCCCATTAGTTTACGTGTCTTGTTAATGTAAGATTTGTACTGTTTCCATATGTAATTTCAAAGAAGATAAGTGCTGTTAAGAGTAATGAGAACAATACAAAGAAATGCTTCTTGTATGCATGCAAAGAATGTGTGACTAATGTACATAACTGTTTATACAGATGCATAATTTGTGCATTCAAACGCAAGTGATTTGCTTGACTGAAGGCATGAAATGACCTCATTGGTTGCTTTAATGAAGGGGTGGGGGTGTTGTGCCAGTTACTGAAAGAAGCTGTGCATGGAAGGATACCCTAATGTCAGCAGTAAAATAAAATAAAAATTGAAAAAATAAAATACTATTGGAAATGATCTGAAAAAAAAAAAAAAAAAAACTAACATAGTGGAATATTTACTCTTGCTCTGCTACATATCACAAATATCCATTAGGTTTTGATCATCCAAAATTAAAATGATCAAATAAAATAAAATAAAATTGAATAAATACTATTGGAAATTATCTGAAAAAAAAAAAACCTAACATAGTAGAATATTTACTCTTGCTCTGCTACTTATCACAAGTATCCATTATGTTTTGATAAAACAAATAAAATTAAATAAAATTAAATTAAAGCTATTCGAAATTATTTGGAAATAAAAACACTAAACAGACAGAGTGGAATATTTATTCTTGCTCAAGCTATTCAATATCCGGTTATCATCAAATATCACCTAAAATAACAAAACAGAACAAAACAATAACTACTGGGAAAAAAGTCTATTAATCACATACATATAAGGCTAGAATGCTAGTTGTTGGATCATCTTTATGGTAATTGAGATGTTCCAAATGTCGCCAGCAGATGGAGGCATTTCAAGAACCTTGAGCAACTTTTAAAACAACACTTCTTCATTGTCATGAGTCAGTTCACACAGCAGAACCAAAGAGACACAACATGCCTGTGGTCAACTCTCATCACACCCTCCTATTCTTAAGACACACAGACAGACACTCATTTAAAGTCTAGATCCAGGATTAGCTACATGGCATGACATCTGATCACTAAACATTAATGGTTCATTCATGAGCAATTAATTTATAAGTCTGTGCTATATTTGAAGTCCTGAATGTGTAGTATTTGGCACATGCAGCCTTCATTCAGGACAATTATAACTCATGACTTGCAGGACTACTCAGCTAATAGACCATGTGTGGTATGCAATTCAAAATGTTAAACAAGTTCACATTATGTTACACATTATGTAATAATAGTTTAGTGTAATTAAAAAGAGATTATTTTACAAAATAAACATTTATTTTCTAATATGCAGTATATACATACTGTTCAAAAGTCTTTCCATTAATTTTTTCTATTTTAGGATTTTTTAAAAACATTTTCGAAAGAAGTCTTTCTGCTCACCAAGGCTGAATTTATTTGATTAAAAATACAGTAAAAACAGTAATATTATGAAATATCAGTACAACTTAAAATAACTGTTTTCTATTTGAATATATTTTTTGAATATGAATGAATATATTACTCCAGTCTTCAGTGTCCTTCAGAAATCAGTCTAATATGCTGATTTGGTGCTTAAGAAACATTTCTTATTATTATCAATGTTGAAAATAGTTTTCTTCAGAATTCTTTGATGAACTGAACGTTCAAAATGGCATCTATTTTAAAGGGGTCATATGATGCGATTTCAAGTTTTCCTTTGCTTGCTTAATAAAAGATGCAATTTCTTTCTTTCTTTCTAAATAAAAATAAAATAAAATAAAATAAAATAAAATAAAATAAATCTTACTGACCCCTAAATTAGAGATATGAGCTCTTGGTCTTTAGATAACTCTTTATGCTGCTCTTTTTACCCCACA